ATTACTAGTTATGAATAATGTAATGGTGCCTCAATAACAATAGGACAAGAACACTTTATAAAAAGATTTCAGATTATTGATATGCGACAGATAATTATATTTAGGAACTATAGGTAAGATAAAACTCAGTTTAATTCGACGTCAAAAGTTTCATATTACCCCATGCCCCCCCAAAAAAGTACTCAGTAGCCCCCAGCTTGAGAAACCCTGCCCTATATTGTAGAGATGAAGACCCTCTGCCACTCAGACGCCTTCCTTGAAACATTGGTGACGATCACGTTTAGCGACTGCACTCCCTCAGTTGTGGAGATGAAGACCTGCTACCAAGACGATGTCCATATCCCGCTGTGATGTCTGACCCTGCCACGATTGTGAACCAACGGCTCCAGAGATGACGTCCCCCCTGCTAAGAAGAGACAACTTTTTTCTGTCACAAAGATGACCCCCTGATACAAAGTACGATGTCGATGTTCTTTTATTACAGAGAGGACGACCCCCTGCCACGGAGCCGACTTCCTGGTTTATGAAATACCGCCCACAACGTCGCAATTATTCTGTGCTACAACGACAACATGGTATTTGAGTGCCTATGTTGACCGATCTATTGGTCTGTCAACTTCTATAAGACTCTTTACATCACGACCATCTTTCTGACGGCCTCATGCTGGGTACAAGATTACCTCACAGCCAATATAAAGCCAAGACCACTACACTTTCCATCCACTACTTCAAGACCACTTCACAACCCTCTTTTTACACAGCGACAGACTATGACACAGTCCCAGTGGGCTCTATACTTACAATGCTACCCTACACAGCTTCATACACTGTACCTATACGCTACCATACCACCGACCCCAAGAGACTCATAGCGAGTGCATCATCATATAGCTGCACCACAGCTTCATTGTGCTACAACTCCATACTCACTTTCGTTAGTAAAATGTTGGCCTCATTATCGTTCTTAAAACAACAACAGCTGACAGGCCCACAGGGCATTGTTACCGCCCACACTAAATAAAAGCTTTAAAGAGACAATGATATCCAAATAATGTGTGGTGTATTTTTTATCTCCATTTTTATCATTCTGTGAAAGCTAGGCGCTTATGTTCTCTTGCGCGTTTGTTCTATCTATGATGTTTATTTGATCTTTTGTAATTCCTTTTGTGTTTGTTAGTGTGTTAGTTTGTTCGTAATTCTTCTCTCTCTCTCTCTCTCTCTCTCTCTCTCTCTCTCTCTCTCTCTCTCTGTTGTCTGTTTGTCTCTCTCTCTCTCTCTCTCTCTCTCTCTCTCTCTCTCTCTCTCTCTCTCTCTCTCTCTCTCTCTCTCTCTCTCTCTCTCTCTCTGTTTGTCTGTTTGTATCTCTCTCTCTCTCTCTCTCTCTCTCTCTCTCTCTCTCTCTCTCTCCTCTCTCTCTCTCTCTGTTTGTCTGTTTGTATCTCTCTCTCTCTCTCTCTCTCTCTCTCTCTCTCTCTCTCTCTCTCTCTCTCTCTCTCTCTCTGTTTGTCTGTTTGTATCTCTCTCTCTCTCTCTCTCTCTCTCTCTCTCTCTCTCTCTCTCTCTCTCTCTCTCTCTCTCTCTCTCTCTCCTCTCTCTCTCTCTCTCTCTGTTTGTCTGTCTGTATCTTTCTCTCTCTGTTTGTCTGTCTGTATCTCTCTCTCTCTCTGTATCTCTCTGTTTTTCTGTCTGTCTGTCTGCCTCTGTCTCTCTCTCTCTCTCTCTATCTCTGTCTGTCTGTCTGTCTGTCTGTCTGTCTGTCTCTCTCTCTCTCTCCCCCCCCCCCCTCTCTCTCTCTCTCTCTCTCTCTCTCTCTCTCTCTCTCTCTCTCTCTCTCTCTCTCTCTCCCCCCCCCCCCCCTCTCTCTCTCTCTCTCTCTCTCTCTCTCTCTCTCTCTCTCTCTCTCTCTCTCTCTCTCTCTCTCTCTCTCTCTCTCTCTCCCCCCCCCCTCTCTCTCTCTCTCTCTCTCTCTCTCTCTCTCTCTCTCTCTCTCTCTCTCTCTCTCTCTCTCTCTCTCTCTCTCACTCACTCTCTCTCTCATTCTCTCTCTCATTCTCTCTCTCTCTCTCTCTCTCTCTCTCTCTCTCTCTCTCTCTCTCTCTCTCTCTCTCTCTCTCTCTCTCTCTCTCTCTCGCTCTCTCTCTCTCTCTCTCTCTCTCTCTCTCTCTCTCTCTCTCTCTCTCTCTCTCTCTCTCTCTCTCTCGTTCGCTCGTTCTCACTCTGTTGTTATTCTGATTTTAATTGCTATTTCTCTCCTCATTATAATCATTTGCTTCGTGTCTTGCTACTTCATAATCATCATCACCATCGAAATCTCCATCATCATCACCATCATCATCATTATTGTCATTATATTTATCATTATCATCATCGTCATCATTATCATAATAATTTATTATTATTATTATCATCATCATCATCATCATTATCATACAATCACCATCATCACCGTCACCATCATCAGCAGCATCAGTAGTTTAATAACATTTTTTTTTTCTTTCTTTCTTTCTTTTTTTTTAATTTTCTTATGAATCCCCTGAAAGATTCTTAAAATAGTCAATAATCAGTCTCATGAGATTGAAAAGGGAATTCCGAAAATTAATATCA